GTTGGTGCTTCAATTCGCGATTGGCGTGTTAAAGAAAACGACGAACGTTTCTTTCTAATGGGCATGAGAACATTGCAGGCTACTGTGCGGTGTATCCGTGTATACAAAATGTATTAAAATATGATTTCATTTTAACATAATAAATTCCATGTAGACATTAGACTTGACCGTGAGATTTTGTGCACGGGAGGCATCTTTGACAGTTTAGTATCTAATGCTCTAGTAATCAGACTCCCTATTATCATTATTATGTGTATGGCCATTGGCCAGTATGGGAAAGCTTATTAACTTTCTTCATTTGGCATTTTTTTTAAGACCGCACATGAGCATTGTGGATGCTTTTAAATGACAACTTGGTACACATTGCTAGAAGAATCTACAATTCAACAATTGTAAATGTACGGGTGTACAGTGTACCATGCTAGTTATGGAAAAATATTCTGCACCAAAATTTTAAAACCAGGACCTGGAAATTGGGCATGAGATGGGTAAAGCATAAATATACAGTTACTAATTTTAACCTGAACAGAATCCTACGCTCAGTTAGATATGACAACAAAATATTTAGAATATTATATGAAATAATGACGATATATGATTAAAATGAAAGAAATGGGACAATGCGATTTTTTTTTTTACTTCATATAACTGAAATGCCTGACAATGTACTCATAATAGCGTTAATCGCATTTCTGTTCATATATTTTATATAGTTAAGTAAAAACCTCATGTTATGTTAGTACTCCATAGTATGCTTTTATCACCTGAAATGATCAAATGAAGCAGGCGTTTATCTCCACTGCCACATTTTAAGATGTAGAATCCCTAGCCTCAACACAGAACAAATATGGTCCGTAAATGTGAGAAAAAGGACCAGCTACAGTAAACAACAAATGATCGCAGAACCACATGCACCAAAATCTATACAGGCCGTCAAAAGCTCATCCGAATTTGCTAGAAATTACAATTAAAACAAAAGCCAGATTGCTTTCTTTAAAATTTGAAATAAAAAAAAAATAGAAAATTGCAATCTAAACACCCATATAAAGAATTAAGGAACTGCCGATCTGCTCTGCTTGCTAATCCTTCATATTTAATCTCCTCCCCACTTTACACAAAATTGTACATAAGGAATAATTGTTGGCCGGCCAATGCAGAAGGCTCTCTCTCCGTCTCCCTAATTGTAGATTCTAACTGGCTTATCAAATGTGTGACGGTTCTGCATGATAAATAAGTAAAAGTGGCGATATAACACATCAATAGAATGAAAGAAAAAATGGCATCTGTTTGTTGAAATTAGCGAGAACTAGAATTACAATCACAGTATTAATGAAGGAGGAGAAGGGATCACGTCATCCATTGGTTGAACCTCGGCCTTGTATGAGATCTTGGATGCACACCCTTAACACAAACTTAGTTGGAGCATTGACTAAGATTGGTATGGAGCATGAATCAATGTTGAGTTACTCTAAATGATGTAAAGTTCAAATTACCAGTTTCAGATTTAAGCTCAAGTCCCGCTCATATTTTGAACCATTCAGGCACTCATAGTAACATATTTCGAGTTGTTCTAGTCGAGCTATTCCAAGCAGCCAACCGTGTTCATGTCGAGCTTGAAGCATACAATGATATAATATACTCCGTATGACTTGGCTTGAAGGGAAGTGTTAATGGCAGAAGTCTAAACCACATGCCTTTTAGCTGGAGTCTTATTAACTCTCTAATGATGATAAGCATTTAGTTGCACGTTGTATTGACATCAATAAATGTAATTTTCTTAATCAACATGAGCAAAATTATTTTAATGATGAATATGAGCAGCTCATCTCCAACAGCCTAAATTTAACCAGCTCAATTCTGGTTACAGAAATTGGGTTTTGATTGGAGCTTGTTCTTGTACATATTTTCCACAATCGCATATTTCTAAACCACCCATACTTAAATCAATGCTAAACATCTGGGCCTACTACTTGAATTGAATTTTACTTCCAGCTCCACATAAGTTGACCAAATTTTATATTGACAAAACATCTACTAACCTGGTTGGCACCATATGATCTTTTAGGTGAGTGGTCAGTATGCTCTAACCCCAGGTACTGTTCCCAAGCACCATAAACATCTCTCCTCTGAAGAAAGATCATATTTTAAAAGAAAATAAATATATATATATATATATATATATATATATATATATATATATATAGAGAGAGAGAGAGAAATGATCCTGTCCAGCAGCCCCCGGTCCGAACAGTGTCCGAACATGGCCACTTGGGGCACTTCCCGGTGGAATGTTTTGATGAAATTTTTTGAGCATGTTCCTCATCAAGTCTAGTTTGTCCATACCAAATTTCAGCTCAAAATTCTATCGGGAAGGCATTCAAATCATTTTTTGAAGTTGACTGCGTTTTTATATGTACATTTTGACGCAGTCAACTTCAAAAAATGATTTGAATGTCTTCCCGATCAAATTTTGAGCTGAAATTTGGTATGGACAAACTAGACTTGATGAGGAACATGCTCAAAAAATTTCATCAAAAAATTCCACCAGGAAGTGCCCCAAATGGCCATGTTCTGACACTGTTCGGACCGGGGGCTGCTGGACAGGATCATTTCTCTCTCTCTCTCTCTCTCTCTCTCTCTCTCTCTCTCTCTCTCTCTCTCTCTCTCTCTCTCTCTCTCTCTCTATATATATATATATATATATATATATATATATATATATATATATATATATAATATAAGAGCGATTTTTATTGGTGATTAATGATCATGACAAAGAGAGATTACCTGAAAACGGCTAGCAACAATATCAGAGTCTTGTAGATATTCAGGTCGACCCAATGATAAAAATGCGAACTTCCACTGAGGACAAGGAGTCACACGACAAAAGGATATATATTAAAAGAAATAAAAATTGAAGAAACATATTTAAAGTGACAAGCAAAACATGAAAATATTCAAGAGGTCATACCCATCGCCATGATGAGGTCTATGAACGATGAAGAAAAAGACAGGAGTTAGACTACCTTGGAGAACTCCTCATCTGGAACTTGTAATTTCTTTTGTATGCGTGCTTTAACTTCAGCTAATGTCTCCTTCTCATGGATAACAAGGAAAAAGGGTTCCCCAAAATTCTGAACGTGCTTTAGTTAAGAAAAAACTATAGATTAGCAACCAGTTTAACGTTCATTACTTCATTTCATGAAAAGGAAAACCAATTCTGAAACAAATAATGTGGATTTCAAGGTTTATGCAACTTATAAGTTTTCAATGCACTTACAGCTTGATTCTGAGTTGTGTCTTTCGTAAAATGATAAACATGAATCAAACGATCATGAGGACCGAGGTTTTTCTCCTCTTCAGGAATCTGCAGGAAGATAAAATTCAAAACTGACAGAACCGCCCAAAATCAGCAACAAACTCTTCACCAGCATTTTTTTTCCTACTCTTTTTTAGAGTAGGGACCAAGATTTCAATTTAGAAATTATCATTTCACCCCTAGATAAATCATACATGCACCTGAGATCCCCTCCATGGGAAAAGGAAATTTAAGACATGGAAATACCCTCATTTCATGGATGTTTAAATCAGTGATTTTAAAATCTCAACCGCACAAAGAAAAGGAAATAGAGAAGACATCATACCACTTAAAAGAAACAAGCTAGACATTATTTAAAAGGAAATAGAATACCTCCTCGGCACGCAATGTCCAATATTGATCATTTATGTTTTCAATTCTTTCATGCAGAGGGAAAATCTGCAATAAACACATTGATAAAAAATCATTAGTTAACATAGCATTTTTATTTAATCCTAAAACTTTGCAACAGACTAAAGAACAATAAGAAGTTTGTGCTTTAATGGAGCTAGTCATTAATTTCTTCAAAAACATACAAAGAATAAATACCACCATTGTTCGTGTTAAGCTTCAATAAGTTTGCTAGAAGTGAGTTAGAGTGAGAATATATCAGTTCGCTCAATATTAATGAAACAATAATATTAAGACACTTATGCACCCAAATAGACGAAGTCTGAAACTAATGTAAATTAGCCATTTAGCCTCACAGGGTTCTTGGGGGTGTTAGAAGTTGGGTTCACCACACCTTCAGAAAACAAGTCAAATGCTCCATTACCTTGTAAATCTTATGATAGAAAACCTCTAGCAATCTTAGTGTAGCATCTGGATGAGACAGTTCCACCTGATATCATCATAATAACTAATCAGCAGATTCCCATTAACAAGACACGTGATCAAAACATAATAGAAACCCCAAGCATTGCAGCAAGATATAATATGCACACTTATTCCATTAAACTGAACTGAGCAAGGGTGTTCTTCTGGTCCGAGAGGTGATGATACAGGCTCGTTTCATTTTGATCGCAATTCTCATCGTCAGTCCTTTTTATTTTCACATAATTGATGGGAAGGGGATCCGGAAGATGCCAAAATCAATTACAAAAGAACAACATTTTAAAGGTACTACCTTTGCTTTGAGGTCAATGAGAACATCCTCCACTGTACTTTGTTTTGGCAATCTAATAGTATGAATGGTTACCTAAGATTTAAAGCCCGATTAATCATACCGTAGTACAAAAAACTGAAAATAGTAAAACCAACAAACAAAAGAAACTCCTTAAACTCACTTCTTCCTTCGCTGAACTATAAAAAGCAACTTTAAGAGTCTTCAGGCATTGCAGTTCTGGTAAAGGGATATCCAGCACTTCATAATACAAAATATCTGAAGTCTATTCAAACATAGCAAGATACTAGAAAGAGTCAAGAAACAAGCAGTTTGTGATTTTAATATAAAAGAAATATGCATCACTCAGGGGTAATTTGCAGTTTAGAATATAATAAATAAAGTATACCTGATTGTAGTGAATGAGCATTTCAGTAAGACGCTCCACTCCCCGGTACTTCACTGGTTGAGGTTTTGGTTGCTGAGAGTAGCAGTTATGTGATGTAAGCCTAACTTTTGATGGATCATCCAATCCAAGATGTCGAGCTACACTTCCCACCACTTCATCATAGCTATTCTTCTTTGCACTAGATGTTTGCTCATGATCAATTGAAAACGACACGAAAACATAAATAAGGTAAATGAATAAAACATAAATTAAGTATGTGAAATCAGAGTATCAGACAGTACTGATATACAAAATACTTACAGTTCAAGAGTGAACTCGTCCTCCTTAGGTTTCTCCAGCAAACGGAAGCGAACAACCTGTGAACCATAACTTTTTTGATAAGTAAACAGAAAAAAAGGACAGCCATTCAAACTAAGAATAATGACTTGGAGAGGCATGGCAAAGACTTGAGCAGACAGAGGGGAATCAACAACGAAAGAATGCCAAAAAAAATATTTCTATACTAAAACTAATCCGTGCAAGTAGGAACAACACATGACGCTGACGGCTTCAAAACTTGATCCACCTACTCATTCTTTAGAAGTTTGCAACATGAAGGGAATTGGCATAAAACTTGCCACTTTGCTTAGTGTGAACTGATTTTAGACATATAATAGGCACTGTAAATTTCATGACATGCTGCTACTGATGATCATGACATGATGACTAATGTTAAACAAGTAACATTGATCATCATCATCATTATTCATTACCCCAATGCCGCAAAGGCTCCCACCTACGGTGGGGTAAGGGGGGTTGGATGTACGCAGTCTTACCCCTGCACTAAAGCACATAGAGAAAATCACGTCGAAAATTGCATGGAGTGACTGCTACTTCATAACAAGGAGGCAGACAGTTTAGTGAGCCATTTTGCTTTATTCCATCATACTCCCAAGCCAAAAAATAGTAAGTCTTTGACTCCATTGCAAATGATGGAAATAAAAAAGTAACAGTGATAATTGAATTTTTGTTTTAGTACAGAGGTAATTGAAAAGGAAGATAAAGAACTGAGCTGATATAAGAATATATCATTAACCACGTACACTGAAAGAAGAAAGTAAGAAACAGCAGGACCACCACATGTTATGTGTACGTTACTTTTCTGCTGAATACAGCATTAAGAAATTTCATACCAAGGCACATTCATAAAGCATCTTCTCAATTGGTTCAACATTAAATCATGTATTACACCTAAAACTCTGGTTTTGGCAACTTTGTAGCACCTTTATGTGTTAGAATCACATCATAGGAGGATCATGTGTAATACTACGTGGCAGTGTATACCTGGCGATTATGCATGTAGTCCAAAAATGAAGGAACATTAGGGAAACGACATTGCTCACTGATTCCACTATGAACGGACTTCTGGAAACAAATAATGTCCCCATCTTCAAGCTGCAATGGTGGGAGAATCAGAAGAATAAAATTTTGAAATACAAGGCCGTCCACAACTAACAATTATGATAACATAGTAGATACTACGTGCAAAATTATTGAAAAGCAAATTACTAGGACAAATGTGCAATAAGTATCACGTGCCTGGCTTGCACGAAAGCTAGCCTTCTTTTCTATGCGTTCAACCATAACATTAGGATCATACTTTATTTCCTGTGCGCACAAAAAGGCAGAAAAAGGAAGGTAGGAAACTATAACGTTTAATATAAAAAAATACAGGACCATATACTACTATTTGCCAAAAAACATATACTACTATCAAGCAGAGTTATCACAGCAAAAGAAAAGGAAACACCAACTTCGAAGAGTTCAATTTCTTCACCCGAAGGAAATCCAGCCAACTCATTGAGCTTTGCCAAAATCTCCAATGGCTTGCCACTGGCTTTGACAAAAAGGCATCCAACATACCTGACATTGAAGAAAAGATCACCAAGAGCAATGTCAATGTGAGAAACTGTACTTGCTAGCTTGGCACTAATGCACACAACCTTCCATCAAAACCTCACTATAAGCCAAGTGAATAGCATTATAGCAGAAGTAATTCTTCAGGAGAATTATTCAGTTAAGAATCAGAGTTTTTAAATTTTTGATAAAAAAAACTAAGCATTTCCATGCTACATTACTACAGAAATTTTTATTCTTCATTCCTAATGAATTATTTCGTTCACACGATCTTTCTTATTTTTTATCTTAACTTTTTTGTCTTATCTTTTTATCTTTATTTTATCATAATCTTATCTTTTTCATCTTATATTATCTTATACTTTTATGAGTTTTATCTATTTATCTTTTTTTTGCTCTGATTTCATATATCGATTCATGTTAGTCGACCCCATATTCTTTTGGGACTAAGGATTGGATGTGGTTGTTGTTGTACATGATCTTTCATGGAAGTGTCAAGATGTCAATGCACCTTTTTCATTTAAACAATTTGATAAAAATCCAAAAAGAAATTAGATAAGAATAACATTGGAGCAAACCCCTCTGGAGGGAAAAAGTTCCATCTATGCAGGCCAGCCACACTTACCGTATCTCCTCTTTAAGAGGGTCATAAAATTTGAAAAATAGAAGAATATCATCCTTGGTCTTTTGTGGTGGAGGAATAGGTTGCAAATCCTACAAAAATGCACCATGAAATATTAGACTTTGACGATTATATTAGGAGTTATAATCTTAAAAGAATAAAATTGATATCCTCATGATTTTAGAGAATATGAATATCCTCATTACCGCGCTAAATTTGGCTTCCAAAAACAATTTTAGCTCAGCCGTACTCGTTTTATTGGATGCTTCTCTTAAATTCCCGACCTAAAAACGAACCATACAAGATCATAACATGCACGTCAAGGATGGAAAGAATTGATGGTCATCGAAAAAAGAAGCAATAGAATATAGGGATCCATGATAATTGAAATAAGAATAACTAGCAAAATGCCAGCATTTGCCATCACAGTCAAGGAAGCATTCCAAACTTCAGAAGTGCCCTCTTCAAAAATAGATCACAACAAAAGGGCATAAATGCAAGTAATATGAAAAGACTAGCATTGACGGAAAATTGTTGCATTGAAACTTTTTTTAATGTATAAGGTAGTGGATATGTTTTCACTTCTCTACAGTGTTCCATAATGGTACTTGACATTTAGTTCCAAGTAGTAGATTTTCTCATATCACTAGGAGGACCCCACAATGAAAGATCAAAGAGGGATATTGCTTGTATTTGTCCTACAATGGATTGCTATAAAACAATAAAACGCTATATTATGATCCTGAGCTAAGTCCAATTGTAGGATGGAACCCCAGATTTTAGCATGGTACCGGAGCTAAGTCCAATTGTAGTTTGGTTGTTATTTAGCACTCATTAAAATCACACATTCACTGTATAACAGCATACTGGTATAAGCATGTGAGAACATAAATTGCATTGTCAAGGGCCGACTGCTGAGAGCCTGAGACTGACCGAAAAGAACTTTAGAGGTGAGCCTTGGTCTCACAGTGCCCCTCACAGGTTAAGTAGCAGGTGAAGCAGGTATATGGTGATTCGAATGGTTTACATATCTTCACAAGTGTCAGCTCGTCATAAGCAAAGTTATCTTTGATTCTCTATCATCAAAGTTAATAGCAATCAATTTGGAACCATAAACAAGGAAGGTGGATTAGGGAATCAAGAATGGTTTATTAGCATCTTGATTGATATGCAAGTCAAACTCTACCTTAGAAAATATTAATTAACTATCTTTTAGAGAAGAGAGGTGGCAATAACTTTAAGATGATTAGCAGTTTTGCTAGGAAAAGAACATCTTGGAGGGTTTCATTAATATCCTTGATCCTTGATTAGAGCCTAGTGAAGCCAGTTAGCAGGGAAGGTGAATCTTATTAGGGTAAAATCAAGGATGATTGATTTGGAATTTGTTTCTTACCCTTAACTAAAGGCTGTATTAGAATAAAAATATAATACTACTGTATGTTTTAGATAAGAGAGGAAGCAATAATTATAAGATAATAAGCAGTTCTGAAGGGCAAGAACATCTTGTTGGAGAGTGCCTTCGGGGCTCTTTAAGGATTTGTTTGAAGCTCTTTTATTATCTTTTCTATTTCTTTCAATTTGATAAACTCATCATATTTTCTTTAGCCTCTTTACCCTCTATCAACATCAACTATTTGACCACATCACTAACATTAGCAAGGCGCCCACTTTAACATTATAAATAGGTCTTTTAGCTAAACCTAGGGCAGCTGCTAACTTAAAATCAGTCATAATCTTCTCTAGAAGAGCACTATGTTATTCTACCTACCATCTCCTCTAATTTCTAGGTGATAATGGTGCATTAATGGCATTCACAATTATTATCAAATTCAATTTTAATTGTATATTCAAATATCAAACAAAAAGTGGAATGAGACAATTAAACAAAAAGTGGGAGTAGCACCTATTGAAGTTGAAGATGTCTCGATTTGCGCGGTGGTTTGGTTATGTGTGTAAAGACCGGGTTATGCACCTTCTAGACGAATTGAGAGGTGGGGAGACGAGGGGGTAAGAGAGGAATGGGGCGACCTAGACAGACGTGGATTAGAGTGGTGAAAAAATGATATGGTAGTTCTTGGGTTAGATGGGAGCATGACTTTGGAGAGAGCAAAGTCGGGGGGGGGGGGGGGGGGTATACGCGTGGAGGAATGATCTGATTAAGTTTGTGTCCCTTTCTCTGTTTATTATTATGTATTATCATTAATATCATTTCTATTATTTTTAACTCCGATGTCATATGTCGATTCAGGTTAGCCAACCCCAAACTCTTTTGGGATTGAGGCTTGCATGTTGTTGTAGTAGCATTCATATATCAACTTTTAGCATCAGATGGCACAATAAGATGGGAGATAAAAAAAGATCTTACAGTTTGAGCTTCCTCTATAGGTGACAATAACCGAGTTGGACGATATGTATGGTTCTGTCGCTTCGCCCATAACCAGAAACGCTGATATTGCACTGCTATACCAAATTCCTTGGCAACTTCTTCCTGAAACATACAGACGAATAGAGATTGACATGATTATATGAAATAAATTTATAAAGACGTGAATATTATACAAATGTTGCACCAAAAACAATTCAACAAGTACAAAATGTGAGTATAACTTCAAGAGCATAAAAGTCATTTTGGAAGATGTGTTTTTGGTAGACTCCCTTTCAGCACTGAGCCTACTACAAAATTACTTGGTGAGCCAACAACATGTCTTAATAATTGTTTAGATCAAATTTAAGGCAATTCTCTTCACTTTTGAGGGTAACATTATAACACTACAAGTACTGGAATTGCCATAACATTCTCAATACCACAGTATCCTTCAATAAGTATATTTTCCAACTCAATTAAATTTATAGTTAAATAACACAGCACGCCTATCCTTTTCCTACCAAACAATGTTCACACTCTTCATAAGAATAAAACTGCATAGAAAGCAATTCATAAAGAGTTTGCTTGGTATTTTAAGGTAGTGATGCCACATTTGCAAGGGCGTCTAAAGAAGTAGAGAGGCATACACTACCACCTTTATATCAGAGGGGAAAGGAACCAACAAATAGAAGTCAGAACACACTATAAGAAAAAAGATAGAAATTGAAGTCTGAAACGCAATGTGAGTAGTAATAATAATAATAAAAGAAGCATAGGGCACAATGCAATGTAAGCAGTACCTAACTTCTACTATCACCTCAAGAAAATTCAATTAGTTTACTCCTTGAATTCAACCATTACTCAACTAGCAAATGCACGATTCATCATGTGCCATCTATTATCTATTACTCCCTCCGTCCCGCTAAGATTGTCCCGTCTTTCTTTTTTTGGTCTGTCCCACTAAGATTGTCCCATACCAAACTTGGTAAAGTTTATGTGGTTCTAAAGCATTCTTACTTTATTAATTCAATACCAAACACATAAATCAACTTTTCTTAATAAACACACCACTCCCTCATGTCTCAATATTAGTGGGACGGAGGTAGTAAAAGATAAAATTACAACCATTGCTACCTTGAATACATCGAATGGCATTTCTTTCTGAACACGAAAACTGCGGACTTTATCATGATCCACAAGATCAAAGAATATGTCCCTTCCAATCTGATTATGAAGGTCCTCATCACAAGCAACCTAGAACCAAAAGTAATTGTTATATTAAGCATTACTTGAAATGCACATATTACTATGGGTTAAAAGTGAAACCTTGATTATCGTATAAAGGTGAGCCTCTGCTTTCTCCTTCCTCTTTTGTTCCTTTTCTTCTTGTTCTTTCTTTAATCTAATCTGCAGCATCGCTGACAATGAATTAGTATCATACTATCATTTAAGAGGAACAATAAAAAGAAAATCATCAATACTGAATCGAAACCTTACTCTGAGGTGCTCTGCAATGTCCTTCTCATCCACATTACATATTATTTTGTCTTTATCACTTTCGCGTATGTATACAAGCATATATGCATTTGAGTACTTTGTAAACTTGAATGGTGAATTGTTAAATCCAGGGTTTGTCTGTGGTAACTGTGGCAAAGCAGTCAGTCACACGAAGCACAATGAAAAGAAAGATTTAAAACACATATGACTCAAAATATGACAACTGGTAAAAATACCTCTTCCTCGCCGCCATACTGCTCTTCCAATGACCTTTTTATATCCTCTTTTGTCACACGCTCGTCATCAAATTTAAACCTAAATGTAAGCAGTTAAGGTAAAAAAAAAAGAGCATAAAATGAAGATCCAAGATCCAGAAAACCCATACTAAACGCCAAAAGAAGCAATAAAGGCCTTAACGGCTATATCTGCTCGAAATGACACTCCAACACTTTTCATATATGCAATGCAAATTAAATTCCATTTTTCCCTGCTTGTGATGCCTGGTAAAAGGAAGGTACAGAAATATGCACGCCACATCAAAACCTAAAACACAGTACATACCATTCATCTGTGAGGGTTGGTCTGATGTAAGCATAATAGTGTCCACCATGCACCCCACCGCTATGTACTAAAACACTAGATGAAAACAACAGGAGTGTCAGCACAAAGTTGCTTGAGATCTAGCAAAGTTTTTATTTCCAGTAACAGAACATAGAGTGTGAGCAAACAACGCACAGTATAGCCAGATAGCAAGTAAAATACATTGCCCGTCCAACCAAGATGACAACATCACAACATAGAAATATGACGAAATCTATCAATGAAAAGAACACAAAAACAGAGTAGATACCTGTGTAAAGTATAGAGATTGCGAATGCTTGGGTTTGCATCAGGAGATAGATATTTCCTGTTCTCTCTATCTAGATCAAGTTCCAAAGGAAACTCATATCTGTCGTTTATCTGTTAGATTATTCAAAAAAGCGAAAGGATTTCAGTGATTAAACAAGAAGTTTTAATTAATACTATCGTATTTCGATACTACGTAGTTCAAGAGATGCATGATGTCATACTAAAGCAGAGTCTGGTACAAGTGTACAACAGCTCAGCAGCATATTCAAAGCAAGATAGGGTGTGTCCTTAACATCTCAGATTTTTTTCAAGATGGCAACATTTTACCCAAACTCCCAAAGATATATATAAATTCAAGTTTATGTTAAGAACACACATATATGACACCATCTATGCCCTGGAACAAGATCTTACAAGAGGGACCTTCAGATTTATGCCTAGTTTAGATTGGCAACGAGAGAGGGGATTATAATAATACTACATAGTATTTTATTTTTAAGGCCGGACTATTTGGTTACCAACATAGTTAAGACACAACAGAATTGGTACTCCAAAAGATGTCGATTAAAGTGTTCCTAAGCTGAGAGGGAATGATAGAGTTGCAAACTTGCAAGGTTGCAACATCAACACAGTCTTATTTAAAGGAAGACATACTAAACTAGATCTTAATAATAATAATAATAATAATAATAATAATAATAATAATATATTGATAATTATAATAATAGTAATAGACTAATAGTAATAATAATAGTAGTAGTAGTAATAATAATACTAGCAATAACAATGATACTAGCAATAATAATACTAGCAATACTCGGAATGCTTGCCCTGGCAGCAAGACAGACGTGTGGGCCTGATTCTTCTTAAGCCACTTTGAGTGCTCAACCCACATGTCTGCTTGTCCATGCTTCAGATCGGAACACGTTAAAAGGATTAATTATCAGCTATCAGCCTATCAGACCATCAGACAAAGGAATTCTTATTGCAGACTTTAGGTAACCATCCAACCACAAATATTTAAATCATAAGATGGCAAAAAAACATTGATGCTTGAACAAACTTTATACATCTATACAAATTAAACAACAGATAAGTGGTGTCATATAGTAATAATATACATAAAATACATGTTGACTATCAATTAGATACCTTGACCATAGTATCTCGTGCAAAGTCATATTCAAATCGCTTCAACTGAAGTTGAAGAACGGGAGGGAAGTCAATGAAAAGAACACCTTTCCTAGCATCCTGAGAAAATCCAATATATTGCATGAAAAACACATATAACCAACACAGTTAAATAAATTAGAATCGAAGAATGTAGATATATCAAAGATAAACCAACGACACCATGTGCACTACACAAACTAGACCAGAATAATTTGTGAGGAGTGAGTCTTTTGCATGTAATGTTTTATTTTCACCACAATTCAATCAAAACTAATTTATATTTTTGTGCATTATGTGTGGTTCACTCTTGTGTGTTGTATTCTTATTATCTTTATGAGGAGAAGGTTCACCATCTTCAGTCAAAAAAGTTATAATGATGAGCTTTATTTTTCTGAAAACCATCAAATGCATGCAAGCGCTATTAAGGAATCCAACCTGCAAACCATACTGCTCCGCATGATATTTGTTGTCACCATCAAGACTTTCCACTTCGACATACTTGTCAAAAGAAGCATATACATCCAGACACCCTTTGACATCAAGTTGAAGGTCTGGAAAAGAAGGTGACAAAGTAATAACAGGCAAACTACATGGACTAAGATATCAGCTTATGTTATCTGGCATATACGAAGTCATGTCATCCTTACAGATAAAGCATACCATAAAAAGATTCTTTCCTGGTGGATTTGTAATCCACGTTGATACATTCAATGTAGTTCATATGGTGGCCTTCAAATAATTGTTGTATTGTACCCTCCACAACTGTTCCCTAAGCCAAAGAAGATGTGCAATTCTTAAGGAATTAAACTTAGATAAAGAACAAGTCAGCGACTAACTGACTATAGGTGCCTTTCACCAGCCTTTTTCCTGAGTAATAAATACTTAGAGAGACAGGTCCCGGATTTTTTTAAAAGGTGAGGTGTTACTAGATCCACTACCTTCATCTTGTCTTCAAGTTTTTCACAAAGAACCCTGTTAAGTTCTTGCACGTCATGCTGCATGAAAGAATCATATGTGTCCCATCCAAAAGACTTCGTCAACTCTTTCGTTGCTACACTGGTGTCATTGTATTGAAGCTTGTAGAACAAACTCTGCAAAGCTAAGGGGATGCTCCCGGATGGATTATCATTCTCAGTTGTTGGCATGTGATACACTGCCTAAAGCACATGTTTAAATAAGTCATTTTGATAACGTTACTAGAGAGAGACAGAGTCAAATGACAAATGCATGTACTAACTTTTCTGAAGTACGGAATATGGTACAACGTTTGGAGAAGAGAGTTCATATAGCAGGTAGCACCCTGGTTTTTAAGCCCCACATAGCCAGTCTCCTTTTTTGAGTCATGTGACCAGCAATCAATCACCCTACGCACAATTACATCTGCTTCAACTATGACAGTGTCATTCACAATGAATCCTCTGCTAGGATCATATAGCTCACTATGGGGCATGAAAGATGTGAAACCCCAATCACTCTCTCTTGCATTGAAGAGATGTTGGGTATCTGCAACATGGAAGTAATATAATAATCAAACAGAAAGTCATCAACAGAAATATTAGAACGCTAGGGTAGCCCAAATACGGCATAGATGAAAGAAAATTAGCAAAACTTATGTATTCAATAATGCCTCCACCCGTAAGATGCATGTGGGTCTGGCAAGACTTTTTAAGAAAATATTGGAGAAAATTTATGTTTTACAATTGTAACCTTCTAAAAGGAAGAAAAGTAGTATGGGTCCACAAATGTAAAAAGTGAAATCATAGAAAACAAGTGGAAAGTGAAAGGTTAGTGGAGTTCAAAATTCAAATTAGGAAAGTGATCATAACTTTGGAAAGACAAAAAAGGAAACTAGGAAAGCATATTCAGCAAGATAAGACATAGGGAGTAACATATTAATAAGACCGACAAAATAGTTGTCTAATTCAAAGGATGTATATTCAGTGACCTTAGAAGAGTCCCCTCTTCAGGGGCATCTTAATACTTATAAGCTGGAATTATACAAAGAAACTTTAAAAGAATTTCAAGTAAAAAGAATGTCTATCCGTGTACCAACCATAACTACCAAGTGAAAGTTAATCAAATTTTCTAAGTAAAGAGATAAAACAATTTAGGCTATGTTCAATCTTTGACATTGTTCAATGTCTTATTCAAATTTGAATTCAAGAAGATTTAATCAATCAAACTAGGCCCGTCTTTCAGATAGAGGGAGTGTACATCACTTGAACTTTTACATGTTAAATATCTAGCATGGAATAAATATCTACCATATCATCGGCATAATTTAAGAAACTAGAGCTCAAAGTAAATCCGTTTTGCAAACGATGATTGACAATTAGGTAAAAGTGTAGCAAATCATGAAACATAAGCCTTTGTTTGTTTCACGGTGGAGAGGAAACCAGAAGGGTTAAAAGTAGTCTTTAGTTTCACGGAGTTAAGAGGAATAGTACTAGAGAATTATACATAAAATACTAAAATAGCCATCCCTTTGTCTTAATTTAAGGTTCTCTGTTCCGATGGTTGATCGATGATAAAGTTAACTCTTCTCTCACACTACCTCCGTCCCACTAACATTGGAGCCTGAGGAAGGGGTGTGGTTATTAAGAAAAGTAGGTTTATGTGGTTGATATTGAATTAATAAATTAATAAAGTAAGAATAAAGTAAGAGTGATTTAGAACCACGCAAATTCTACCAAATTTGGTATGGGACAATCTTAATGGGACGGGCCAAAGCGGAAAGATGGGGCAATCTTAGCGGGACGGAGGGAATAATATTCAAAGCAGTAATATGGAGTAATAGTTATAGATATACACCAAAAGTTATAAAGAAATTTCCCTAAAAGGATTAAAAACAATGTTAAATTTAAAAAATAGGAGCATAGTTGTCATGGCGCATGGCAATCGCCATGGCTCAAAGGTATTTTTCATGGCGCATGGCGATGGCGCATATGACACATATGGCACTATGGCGACGACTACATTTTCATGGCAATGGCGCATATGGCGCGCGCCATATCTCGCCATTGACTTCTATGATTAGGAGTGCTATGTTTTTTCCATAGCAATTACTGCCATGTTTGGAAAATACTGTCAATTATAAAATTAATAGTGTCATATTAGTGTCTTGTAATGCCAAAATATGACAATATTATTTCAGGATGGTAGTAATGCACTCCTAATTAGGAGGGAAACATAGTTTTCCTATTTTGGAATTCCACATTGCTTTTACTCCTATTTCGGGAAATTTCCCAAAATTATATTGAATCACAAAAACCGCATTTGAATATCATAAAAAATATTATTCAAAATTGTAGATTAAAAAAAGAGCTCTTTTATAACTCCAATATTATATGTCGTTTTATGTTAGCTTACCCCAAACTCTTTTGATATTAAGGCTTAGATGTTGTTGTTGAATAAATGAGTGTTTGGGTTTGCTTAAAAAAAGCGCTTTTCAGCTTTTGGTTTAAAAAAAGTTGAAAAGAGTGTTTTCAAATGACAGCTTCTGCTTAAATTAATCACTTAAAAGTTAAAAGCTGGAAGCAGGTAGAAGGGTGCTTTAAACTGCTTCTCACTTTTTCTATTACACAAAAAGTACTTATTTTACCAAACACTACCAACTTTTACTTTTCCAGAATCACTTTTTTCTCAAACACTACCAACTTTTACTATTAATCACTTTTCCCAAAATCACTTTAAAAAATCACTTTTTTAAAGTTGAAGCAATTGCAAACACTCCCTAAATAAAAATAGAGTTAGACTGACTGCATTATAAGTGTTTGTTTATTTGGGCAAAAAAGAGTATTGGTACTTTTATGGGTAATTCAAATAGAGTAATATACATGTATGACAATAATGTAGAAATGTTTTGGATTGAAGAAAAAAGCGATTTTTTTTAACACTCTTACAGCATCACCAGAATCAGGAGATGAGAAATGAAGAGTTTGGAGGAGTCCATAGATTCTCCCTTTCATCCCCTTTTTGGGTTTCCTCCCTAAATCACTCTATCAATCAAACTGACCAAAAGCGCGATTAAACACGCTTTAGCATGAAAGTGCAAGTGAGTGAAGAGGCAAGGCGTAGCTTTAACTAAGTGACAGCGAATGAGAAAATGTCGCTTTTAGGCATTTCGCTTAAGCTCTAAAAGAGTCATTATTCATGGCTTCTCACGAAAAGCACAGGCTGACCGGTCAAACCTTTTTTTAATTTTTATGACCTAGGGTTGCGTCCTTCTACATTCTTTTTTAATCGTAAACACCGGAACTTTAGTCTTCCGCTGCTGTTTCTTGATCGACATCTTAAGGTTAGTTTAAAATTAAACTTAATCTTCTTCTTTGAAAGTCTACTTATTACTTGTAGTTTTTCAGTTCTTCTTCATTTATGTTTTTATTTAAATTCTATCTTTGGAGAAGATGACGATTACACAAACAAATGAAACAGATTCATGAACATGAGAAGATGGAGGTTGCATAAACAGTTGTAAAAGATCCAAACATATTCAAACAAAAAATGATTATAAAAACAGTTTGAAACTAAAAACAGATAAAGATTCAAACATATACAAACAAAAAAATGATTATAAAAACAGTTTGAAACTAAAAGCAGAAAAAAATTCAAATAAAGATAAGAGTTTTATTCTTATAATTCTTTTCTTCTTATTTTGTTCGTTGTTATGTTTTAAATTTTTAATAGCTAAATTATGTGTATAGATTGTATTGTATAAGGCGGAAAGTTTATCTGGACAATAAAAATGTTTGAATTTTCAAAAAATATTAAACATAAAAAAATCTACAAAACCCCATTACAGAAAACTTATAAATTGTCAAGTGTCAAAACTTTACACCATAATTTCCAAACGAAGTTTTTCCCTACAAATCAAAGGCCACTTAGTACTTTCTATTCCTAATTCAACACTTTTACGACGAAGCCAGAATGGCCCTAACTTTGAGAACAGCTATCGTCTTGTCTATCAACTACAAACAATAAAAGTTCCTACTTTACCAACTATTTAGATAGTATAAGACTAACCTATAATACTTCACCAACTATTTAGATAGTAAAATACTAATCTAAATAGAAAACAGTTTCAAATGAATCCAGTCCTTAAAAACTTAAAATATACCTTATAACTTATACCAATATTTATCCAATAGACTTCATAAAATTTAAAATCGGTGTGATTGGTTACTGGCTTATCTGTTTTAGTGGTGAAAGTGTATCTAGTTTTAGCCATTGGTCACTTTTTCTTCTTTCATTTTTGGCAAATATAGTAAACTTGGAGAGTGTATTTTAACACCTAAATGGAATATAGTGAACATAAGTACATAATAGTATGTTTTTATACCTAATACAATATTCTGAACATATGTTAGTACATGGGGTGAAAGTTTATTTTTACTTTCTTTTTTATATATACGTCATTTTTTGTGACTATGGGTCATCCGGAAACAGTCTATCTGTGCTTTAGTTAGTACAGGGGTAAGACTGCGTACATCCGACTCCCCCTTACCCTACCGTAAGTGGGAGCCTTTGCGGCACTGGGGTAATGATAATGATGAATGAATGATAATGATGTCATTTTTTGTGAGAAAGCAACGCTTTGCTTAGCGCTCTCGCTTTTGAACAAAGCCCACCTCCTCGCTTTTGTGAGCTTTTCGCTTTAAAAATTTCGCTATCAATATGAAAATAGTGGGTGGAACTAGAGGGGTGAAGAGAACCCAAAAATGGGTTTCCCCGCCTATTAACCCCAAGGGTTTTTGGAAAGGCTTACTCCCCAAAGAAACACACATCACTCCTCCACCTCCATAACTCCATTCCCTCCCCTCTAAAGTATCTCAACTAAACAAAGTCTGTACTTTGCTTAGCAGACTTAAATACTACTTGAGCCAAATATGAACATTCACATAAACTAAATTAAACGCTATACTAAAGGAGTCTTTTCCACTGCTTAAAAAAGTGGTTTTCTGTTTTTTGCTTTAGAAATACTAAAAGTAGTATTTTCAAACAAGTGCTTCTATTTACATTAAACATCTTAAAGCTAAAGTTGTGGGCAAGGGATGTTTTAAATTACTTTTCACTTAATCTATTACACGGTACTTTTTTACCACACTCTAGCTTTTACTTCTTTAAATTCACTTTTCAAACAATACCAATTTTTACTATTGAACATTTTCATATAATCTCTAAAAGAAATCACTTTTCAAAAGTAGAAGAGAACACAAGCACTACTTAACACATACTCCGAGTGCAAAAATTATCGACAATCTGGCATCACAAAAAGAATACAACAGACAGGAAAGCAATTGGTCAACTCATACAGGATGTGCCAGTAAAATAGTGGGATGATGTGTCACAACGCTCTCCAAAGGAAAGCTCAAAATCACAGGGAAGCCAGATGCACAAGAATGAGATCTCACTTTGAAAGTTCCAATAAAGTAAATGGTCACTTGGTTACCTATCTCCAGAAGACACGCTCCTTATATGCATTTAAGGTCTTTTCACAACTGATGATAGCATCGTGTGAGAAACTTTATGCCATAAAGACTACAATCCCCTCCTGGTTTAGCCAAGAAATCTTAAACATAACGGGTTGTGCAATCAATAGTATAAAGTTCTCACCTTTCCTCACTGTAAATTTGTTATGAATCTGATTAACCACTGCCAAACTGAACTGGGCATGCCTACTCCACCCATAAGGCAATAATGAAGAATCGGCAACATCAAGATACATTGACAAATGATCCACATTATTCCCTTTTGGGAAAATCAATATCCTCCTGCCAAAAAAAACTTCACTGCATCAAATACAAAAAACTCATTTCATGGAGCAATTTTTTGTTATTAACAAAACAAATCATATGGTAATCCGTCAAGGTTACTTTTAAAATTTCAAGATATGATGAGAGAGAGATGGAAAGTAGAAAACCATTTATATCCGCCCACATGGAAAATCTCTGAGTACATCTTCTTTGCATTCAACCTTGAAAATTTCTCAATTGTCCATGTGAACCGTGCTGTGGGCGAATCATCCACTGCTTGAGCGTCAACTGTACTTGTTGCATCCGCAGGAGCAACTATCACATTTCAACACCAGAGTTGTCATCAGAAGGTGCAACGGGAAAAGAATTCTCGAAACCAAGTAATAAAGTTCAGTCAGGTACACATTCATGCATATTTAGCAAATAAACTTCGTGTTTCTTTTTTAACATAACTATACATAGCATATCAATTGATTCATGTTGCATACCAGCAAGAGCGCTAATACCCATAAGAAGATAAAATATGTATAGAACTCATACGGGCCTACATCATAAAAAGAGCGTGCTTTTAGGAGAGCAGCAAGGCGATGTACAAGTGAAGAAAGATACCTTCCATAGGCTGGGGGCCTTCAGCTGGAAAATTGGAATTAGGAACTAGCATGTCATCGTCTTCTTGCTGCGAAACAATCAAGTCAGTAGGGGCGGCAAGATATTCCCGATCTACAATCAAGCTAGACATACTGTTGATCAATCGAATCCCTAGGATTTTCCAGCATTGCTGTCTAATAAATTAAATTGGAAAAATATATGTTGAATTCTCAGGTAGACGGGGCATTCAATCCACTTCACTAGCTCACCGATCCAAATATCAATAATTTTGTAAAACACGCTATCCAAAGCTACTCTTGAAAAGTGAAGAACCAGTTGCAAACAGTTAACAACAAAATATACTTGTCTATGTCAATGTAACGTGCAGGCATGCATGGATAAAGATAGATGAAGAGGGATTACATCCGCCGGGGGATTAGAGAGGATGGTCATCTCCGGCGAAAGGAGACCTGATGATCGGCTAAACAATGGATAGAAGACTCGGGTGATCCGGGGGGTCGAACCTCCTCTCAGGCTGAACAAATGATAGAAAGCGCAACGAAGTGACTGAATGAAAAATATACGGGCGTGAACTCAAAACTTAATCTCAGAAGGGTATATAGGGAGTTTCAATCTGTGCAGGAAAAATGTGTACGGTCGAGGCGGTGACGGGGATGAAAAGAAGTTGTCTGGTTTACAGCAAGTCAAAAGTTGGAATAATCCATCTATACTCTCTCTGTCCTAAAAACAACTTTAGACAATCAAGATTAAGAAAATAAATTTGACTTTGCTTTATAGTGCACTGTTTGCACTGTTTGGACACTGTTTGACACTGTTTAGCACTGCTTTGATGTAAATAATTTGCCAAATAAGGAAAGTATTGAAGTGTGAAGCTAATTTTGGGACATCCATTTAAGGAAAGTGAGAAGTTGTTTTTGGGACGGAGGGAGTATTTA